AGAAATATCGTCCTTGACTTTAGTAGAGGCAAAGAATGTGTCAACATTAAATGACAATGATGACAAAGAAGACGAAGATGTCCTAAATATAGGACCGTGTTCAACCACTTCGTATTACCAGAGGAATGTGTTGTACTACATTTCTGGCTTTTTAGCAAGAAGATTTATGAATAAAACCAAGTGTGAAGTGTGAAACCAATTGTTCCCCGTTATGCCAGAACTGCTAAGGGAACTTTGTACATAAAATTCCCCCTTATGATGAATGAGGAAGATGAAGAATATATAAACCTACACCGCATTATCACTTCGATAGCCATATTGAGTCTAATCAACAAGAATTGAATGATGGAGATGTCCTAGTTTTCAGTTCCAGTTCCAGATGGCACCTGTTTTTTGGACAGAAGTCGGACCCTCTCGTCCCAAGTGAGTCAGATCACAAACAATAGTTTTAAAAGTCTTGGTTTCGGTAGTTGTTATAAATAAACCTGGACAAATGTAGCTGCAAACATAATCTTTTTAATTTTTAGTGTAATAATTATGCCAAAATTACTTGTTTCCATGTCAAATATACATAACTTTTTTAAATTTATATAAACTATTTTTAACACAATATATACGATGGATATATTATATTATATAGGTTAGTGCTCCAAAACCTGTTTTCTATCCTTATTAATGTAAAACAACAGCAGTCATACATATATAATTCTATATATATAATTCCGTAAGTCAAATTTTTGTAAAGAAATTGTAAGTGACTGGATGGCCGTAGAAGGATGGGAGGGGTCTTATTTTAAAGGTCTTGACGTGAATTTTGAGGGAAAACTATTCATTTTCATTAATTATGCACCAAAAGGTAGTTACGGAATAAAATATTTCACATTTAAATAACATGGGAATCTAATTTGATGTCTTTTTATTTAGCTTAAACACAGCTGTGATTATATAAATTGAAAAACAAAAACACACCTGAATTTGCATTATTTTGTTATTGTAAAATTGTTAGTGAAGTAGTAAACAACAATAAGTGAAAATTAGATTAGATCTTTTGAGCAAACTTAAATTTGATACTTTTAAACTTCATACTTTACAATGGATTGTTCTTTTGCACAGTAATAATGTATAATGTCGGAAGACTACCACGCAGAGGTGTTGTTCCTTGAAATGAGAACAACAGGCGCCAGATTTGGCACGATATTTGGGAGGAAAATAAATGAATATCGGATGAACATGAAGTTATTCCTGTGTATACATTGCCACTATTAAATGAGATTGCATTACACAGCTAGGACCAATGAATGATGGGTGCATTCATTGTGAAATTTGATTTGGTTAAATTGTGGCGCAAGGCCGAACCTTCACAAAGTTGGCGTTTATTTGAAAACCCCAGTGTTTACCCATGGTCAACTTTATGTTACTTTTGGATGGGCAAAGAGGCCAGATGGTGTTAAAATAGTACTAGACCCAAATAAAGACCAAGGAATCGACCAAAATCGATAATATACAACAAATTTTGTTTTCAGAGAGGTTTTGTTATAGAATTAGCATTTTACAATTTGGATGATGACGTTATATCTATGTGTTTTCCTAAGTGAATTTGTCTATATTTAAAGAAATCTATATAGATGTAATTAATAGTCATGAAAATTGTTATTGGAAAATGTTCCTTAGTTGTATTATGATTAGAAAGTTTATATTATACACCGCATGTCCTTTGGAATTTTTATTTTAAACAGAGTAGACATCAACCTACATTATGATATGTAATAACTATTATAGATATCATAATGTACAAACATGTTAAATGATAAATCAAGGTAGGGTAACCTATGAGACTAATAATTTGTACAAAAATATTACTAGACTATTTTTGAATATATTTTTGATATTTAGAATATATTACTAGGGGCTATTGGCCCTTTAAGCCCTATAAGCTAGTAAAAACGTAATTTAGGTGAGATAATATTGTGTTATAAGTATATAGTTACCTAATTTGTTCACAATGTTATTCTGAGTTTTTTTAAATACCGGAATTGCAATATGTTGTTTTACATTTGAGCTTTTTAGGGACTTATGTCCCTACAAGCCACTAGTCGATTATATGAATTTATTTGAAAACACGTCTGAAAAATCAATTTAGAAAATCATTTTTATATTATTTTGAGAATATCTTTAAGACTAATGCATATACATAAGAAATGAATATAACCATTCTTGTAGATAATTTTATCATTTTTCTTTTTATAATTTACATTTTTCGGTACGATGCACGGTTTTCAGTGTAGAAGTAAAAAAACTAAAAAATGGGGTCTTTCCCCCCCCCCCCCCCCGCTGAAGCAGCAGGGCCAGGGGAGGGGACTTTTGGTATTTTTATCTTCTAACTACCCCGAACACATTCCCGCAGAAAAAAACGTTCCCCCTCTCCATGTCCTCTACAATCCCTTTATTGACTGGACTACTAGGATAATCAACGAATAACGGAACAGTAAAGGCCGAAAACCATTTTTACTTTCTCCCCCTATACCATAGTATATGGAGAAACCATAGTATTGTTTTCGTTAAAATTTTCGAGGTTGAGTTTTGAGTGGATATATTCGTTTTGGGTCCCCCTGGACCCAAAAAAGTGGTTTTCGAAGTGATGTCTGTGTGTGTGTGTGTGTGTGTGTGTGTGTGTGTGTGTGTGTGTGCGTGTGTGTGTGTGTGTGTGTGTGCGTGTGTGTGTCTGTGTGTCTGGATGTGTACAGAGCTAGAGACTACACCTGTGGACCGATTTCGATGAAATTTGGTATGTAGGTTCTAATCCATGGTATCTCCAGGCGTTTTTTTTTCATTTTTTTGAAATTTTGATTTTTAATGGGGATTTTCCCATAAAAACCCATAAAAAACCGGAAAAATCGAATTTTCTCAAAAATGGCCCGAACGATTTTGATAAAAATTTAGTATGTTGTAGCCCTTTAAATTCTGAAGAAACTGGTGAAAATCCCATTTCTCTAAAAATTACGGTTCAAAAGTTATGGTAAATTATGTTATTTTCCCATAAAACCCCATGAAAATAACGAAAAATATGATTTTATTAAAAAAATCCGGTTTTGATTTAACATAGTATGTTATGGTCCTTACAATTTTGATAGTTTTTTAAATTGTTTAGAAATTTTGATTTTTAATGGGGATTTTCCCATAAATCCCCATAAAATAACGGAAAAATAGGATTTCCCCAAAAAGGGTCCAAACGATTTTGATAAAAATTTAGTATGTTATGGTCTTTTATATTCTGAACAAAATGGTGCAAATCCCATTTCTGTAAAAATTACGGTTTAAAAGTTATTAAAATGATGTTATTTTCCCATAAAAACCCCATAAAATAACGGGAAAATCGGATTTTTCCAAAAATGGCTCGAACGATTTTGATAAAATTTTAGTATGTTATAGTCCTTTAAATTCTGAACAAAATTGTACAAATCCCATTTCCGTATATTTACTCTCACCGCTTACAAATGATAAAGGTTGTTGACATACTTATGGGAGAAAGTATGTGTCAGAATGCTGATACCGTTTATTTGGTCCGTGGTACGATCACCACATTTCACCACACTACTACCTTTGACTATTAATACAACAACCTATTACTGTTCACAATAATAATTAATCAGTATCAACTTTAAGGATATATGAATAAGTAATTTCAGGAATAAGCAAAAATAATAATAAACAGTTGCTAGGCAACGGTGAAAATAAAACCATTATATTGCAATGCTATGGATACTGTTTGTATATTTAATATATGCAAGTGGGCAGCTGATTTTGCGGCCCTAGGGATGTAAAAACCTGCTCGGTCCCCAAATGACGATGACAGCTGGGCATGGCCAGCAAAACGTAAGTTTCAGCCTCTAACTATCGTATGTAAAAAATCTAACAACATCATAGTGTGGTGAAAATAAACTACCGTAGATCTTTAACTAAGAAGGAAAGTTTAGGAACATCCGTGTCTATAACTATAACTTATACAAGAAGGTAGCAAAGATCAGAGCAAAAACCAAATATCAAATAGACATCCCGTGGCGGTAGTCTAATCATTCAGAAAAAAATCAGAGCGAGTACCAACTCTTGTATCTTGCATCACTGAAAAAAGTATAGCTTTGAGATGCTTTATGGTAGAAATACAGTTATAAATACAGTTATTACTTCAAGTAATCCGTCTATTCAGAGCCTCCTCGCCACCTCGGCCCCCAATTAGCGCCGCTCGACTGGGCGCGTGGCTCACCCACAGTATGAGTATGTTACGTTGGTTATTCAAAATAATTAAGCAGAACAGAAGTTATATTATGCATCGGCTCGTAATACTAATAATTTGATATCAAACTTCACGTAAATTGAGCAAAATTTACACATTTAAGAAAAAATTTTAATTATATCCTATTTATGATGCTTTAATTATAAAAGGCATCATAAACGTAACCCAAAATCTATTTATAACATTTGTTATCGATATCCTATACTATCACTCATTTACCAACATAATAATGATAAAACGTGGTAGGTATTTACTTTTGCTTGAAATTATTATCACGTTTATACACGAAACTAATTTTATATAGATAGTCTATATTTTCATCTTTATAATATGATGTACTAAGATTCCCATCACACTTTTCCCAGGCTTTGGACTGGCTAAATAGTTTGCATATTTGTAACTATTCAGGTGTGTTTAAAATCTTTTTGGTTTTTATATTTTGTATTTTTTTGTATTTTTGAATTTTTATGTATTTTTTTGTATTAAAAAAAATTTCATGTTTTTTAAATATATAAAGAAAAATATTTATACAAAATTCCGTACTCAGTCTGTTAAAATCACATATAAGTCCTAATATTCTTAAACAATGTACAACAACTATAAACATTTTCCAGATAAGTAAAAATAAAATACAGAGTTTGATAATGATAACAAAAGTAAAAATTAAATATAATCTACAAAACAAGAGATAACAACAGAATTTTATTTTTCATAAAGGAACCGCTAAGTCATCCCCCGAGTCATCTTCTGTGTCATGTCGTTCGCCGTCACTGCCAACTTCGCTGCCATCTTCGGATTCCGAGTCTTCTGCCAGGTTTATGATGAAATTGTCCTGAACGTCATTGCTCATGGCCTCCAGGTCCCACATGAGGTCTTCTACTCCCATTACGTGTTTGACAGCCTTCCTCCAGTCCTCATCAGAAACATTGTCAAGAGCGTTGTTCAGTAGGGCTTCTACAGAGTGGAGAGAATAATCTGTGTTTGTTCTCGCTACTTCATTTTTGACTTTAGCCTACACCAGTTCGATGGGGTTTAAGTCGCAATGATAGGGAGGAAGTCGCAACGTATGACCAAACTCTTCTGCTATTTTATCGACTTTGAAAGTTTTTGCTGCCATTAGAAGGTGATCTGGAATGTGCGCTATCAGTTCTGTTTTCACATCTCTGTCGTCGAAGTAAACTCCATTTACATTTAGCCACTCTTGAATTTCACCTTTCTTCCAGCTCATGTTTAGCAGTTTATAAAGAGTTTCACTGTGATATGAAGCGTTGTCCATCACAATCACGCTATTGGGAGGCAACACGTGTAGTACTCCGGTGAACCAATCCTCGAAAGCCTTGGCGTTCATCTCATCGTGGTGAGTTGCATTTGCAATTTTTGCCGTCTTTTTCGCTCTAAAGACACAACGAGCATCGCTTCCTGCTGACGGATCTGTTGGATCTCTCAAAAAGCCATCTTCACTACCTATGTGTACAACTATATGTCGGCCACCTCGTCCTGGAACGTCGCGTAGTCCCGTCGTCTCCCCGCTCATGAAGGCTTCTCGTGATGATATAATATATTTTGGGGTCCATGCCTTTTTTACGGTGTGACCAGCGTTGCACCACGTTTCGTCAAGGTAGAATATTTTTCGTTCTTCGGTTCTGAAAGTTTTGATGTCTTGTAGATAGCTCCTCCTCCATCGCACAATATCCTCTCGTTCAATTAGTATGGATCGACGTTCCCTCTTTTCATATTTAAAACCTAGATCGTGCAACAGCTTCCTTGTTGTGTGCACACTGACGTTTGGCAGATCAGGATCTTCGTTGATCATCTGGGTCACCTTCTTCACTGTAGGTGGTATATTTTGTCTGTACAAACTGTGTACTTTTCCTTTGATTCCTGTTTTTTCAAAATCACTGTACTTTTTCATCCTAGTACACTGTCCCACACGCCTCGGCCTTTTCTTCCCTGGAGTTACTAATGGGCCTTTTTCAAACTCCTGCCTAATTTTTTCAATGGTCCCTCTACTTGCACCCGTTAAAACGCTGACCCTTTCTGCACTATAAACCTTGCTTTATAAACCTTATGAGTGGTTCACAACCAATAAAATCTTGATGTTTATTTTTTGATATAAACTCCAGTGCATCTGCAACACCAGAACTCAAAGTCTGGACAGCTAATAGAAAGGTAATCTTTTTGTTGGCAAACTTTATGTGTTTGTTTGACAGCAAACTTGTACCCTTCCGAATTTTGCAGATCTCCACTTCTCGCTTGGTCATACCTGGATTTTCAATACGTAAAACTCCGTACACGTGTAGAATAATCCGGCGCTCCCCACTGGTGAAAGATGCCTTACTTCGCTTGACGACGTATTTTTCTGGTGATGACAACTGCTGCTCCACCATAGTTAAACGTATCAACAACACTGTCTAGCACCAACTGACTAATATAATTTAAGGGATGTTTGAGGAAAACTACCCCTAGAGAGGTGACTAAGACCAGATGGGTTAAACGGAAAACAATGAGTCATCCGTCACATTCAAGATACCGGAAGTGCTATCAAAGTGCAATGGGACACTCAAGCAGTGAGTCACTCTTCTTAGCTGACAGCCCGTAACAGAAAGAGTCATTCGCCAAAACAAAAAAAATAATTATTTTTATAAGGAAATAAATACCGTTAATAGTTTTCATTATTACGTTAAAGTTATACGGTGTAATTATAATTTCACTTGTAAAACCTACAGTTAAAGTTATATTCGTCTATCTAAAAAATGCTATAAAAATGCGTTGATAATAAAAAAAACCCTTAATAACAACTGTGGCTATAAGATTAAAAGTGAGAAATAGTGCTCATTTAACTCACCTTTTTTATGTGTTACATTTATAAGTCTTTATAAGATTATTATTACTTTATAAAGCCTTATGATTCATTATGTGAGGCTTGAAAAAATTATAAATTTACCATGCTCCGTATAGTATAGTGAGTAAATTGTAAATAATTATATCACAGATGTACAAAAATAATTTTATTACGTTATTTAACAGTGAATATGTTTTCATTAATACATTTATGTGTAATAAGGCCTAGGATATAATTAAAATTTTCCTTAAATGTGTAAATTTTGCTCAATTTACGTGAAGTTTGGTATCAAATTATTAGTATTACGAGCCGATGCATAATATAACTTCTGTTCTGCTTAATTATTTTGAATAACCAACGTAACATACTCATACTGTGGGTGAGCCACGCGCCCAGTCGAGCGGCGCTAATTGGGGGCCGAGGTGGCGAGGAGGCTCTGAATAGACGGATTACTCGAAGGATCGACTATTCATGCCCAACGTTAAACGACAGTCGACTATAAACATGTACAAAACCTTTCGCTAATCCTCTCCACGGTAACCAAAGATTTAAAAAAATGAAAAACCTGTAAAAATCTCAAATTTAAGCCTTATTTTGAGCGTTTTAAAGGAGTGGAGTTAAGAGAAAACGTATACAGTATATAAAAAAAAAAACGTAAAATGTAACCTCCTTATTGCGATCAAGGTCTTAAGCTTAAAATAGAAAGTATATTTGAAGTTTTAAATCACTCCAAACCAAAGATCTATGAGGGAGAAAACCACAACATTATAACAATCAACAAGAAAGATGTCCTGAAATAATAATAATAATAATAAAAATAATAAAAAATAATAATATAAAATAATAATAATATAAAATAATAATAATATAAAATAATAATAATAATAATATGCGTGGTTATAATAATATCTGTTTTCTTGAAGATAGATCTGTTTTATAATAATAATAATAATAATAAAATAATATCAATAATAATAATAAGCGTAGTTATAATAATATCTGTTTTCTTGAAGTTTGTTCTGCCTCTTTACTGAAGTTTCACTCGGCTACTGCATTGCATCATTGTATTGTTCCTATACTGGTTTTGTTTTTTGAATCTCTCTTTTTGTCAACTTGCTCAGATAGTTTGTTATTTATAGTTGTTACTTATAGTTTGTTATTCATAGTTAGTTATTTATAGTTTGTAATTTATAGTTGTTATTTATCTTTTTATGTCTTGTTATTGAAGTTTTGTTTTCCAGTTTTTTCACTACTTTTGTACTGACCTGTGATTTTTTTTCTGCTTCTGTATGTAAGATTATTGTATTTTTCATGTAAAAATGGTGCATCCGTTAACAAATAAATAAATAAATAAATAACAATATTTACTGCTATCTAATTATGAAGGGGTGAAGAAACAAGTTACGAAGTTTTAGCTCTTTCAAACTCACTAAGTGTAGTCGTACATGTAATTTTTATACTATAGGTTCCGCTTCAACATCCTTAAAAACCTTTTTTTAATGTTTCGGAAATCCGCCATCTATAAAAAAAAACCATTTGGGGGGTTTAAAATTTGAAAATGTTTTAATCTTCACGTTTGAATTTTTCTTAGACAACTGTGGAACAAATTTTACAATCTTCTTTATAGAGAAAATTAAAACTATGGTTAATTTGTGTTACTTTTTGACAGAAACCACGAAAGTAGTTTCAGGAACAAATCTACCAGGTTATTTTTCTAGTTCAATGGATAATATATTAAAAAATATTTGGAAGAGTTGATGCTAAACCCCTTTCAGATAAAATGAAGCGATGATTGACAGACAGAATTTCCATACTACGTGTTGAGTCCCCACCGATTGAAGTGGGACTCTTATTATGTTAAAATGTTACCAGATGGATACACTTTGAACAATGTAAAATGTTTAAAGTAGTTCAAGAACTTTCAACAATAAAATTGTCATATATTCAAACCAACATTAATAACTTCTCAATGAATTGTTTATGATATAAAAAGTACATAAAAAGTAAAGTGTATAAGGTTTATCTCATAAACCTTATATTTAAACTTTCATTAAACTAAATTACATCAAAACATTGTCCAAATTTTATTTCCAAGATAACGATTTATAATTTTTCAACAATCAAAAGATTTTATAATATGACCCTAATTTATTTTTCCCTTAGAATATAAACTTTTACCAACGTTTACAAATAAAGTAGTCAAAGAACCGACGAGTATGTTTTGCCAACTTTACAAATTATAATAAAAGATATTGCAAAAGTTTTCATATTAGCGGAACTGAGACTCGTAGGTATGACAAATGGGTGGCATTTATCCCCCATTTATCCCCGCAAATAAATCTGTTGTATACAAATATGCTAAATTTTATGATATTCCTGCTATAAAAGAAAATATATAATTTCGGGAAACTACACAACCACATAAAATAATCATTACTGTTAGGTAGGTAAATGATTAATAACTATTTTGTGCAATCACATATTTTTATGTGGTTTAAATCCCTACTACACCATTAGCAGTTGGCTAGCTCTATGATAGGCTACTACGGTCAATTTCTGACGTTGGTATATCCTGGTCTTCTGGTGACGGCCGTGTAGTGATGGTGACGATAAAGTAGCTTCGTACGCGATGCTGCATTTAATTCACAAGGCACCAAGAGGCATTCACTCAAGAAGCCAGCATCTACCAATTTGCTCACTTACCCTCTTTATGTGCTCAAATGTTGCAGCGTTTCGTATAAAAGACAGTTGCAATGGTTTTCATAATATACAAACAACTTGTAATTCGAATTAATTAAAAATATTGTTCCCATAAATATACTTAAACACGTTTTATCCGTAGAAAATTCTTGATAATTATTTGTAATTCGACAGACAGTTTACTGCACACATTTAAAATTTTCTATATAGGGAATAAGCTATAACCGTAGGTCTCACCGTAAAACATTTTGTTTTTAGGTTATCAGAGGCCAAAGCTTAATCCGTTTAAATTTAAATACATATGTGACATTTGGTAAAAACGAGTAAACGTTAGATCATTCGAACCAGTTTGGGAACCAGCATGATTGGACCATGGGCACGAGGTTTAAGGGTGGGTGGGGGTTTGTAGAAAAAATAGTTTTCCATGTTGTAGTAGAAGTCATTATAGTTTCATATATGAACAGTCATAATTATTAGTAACGGAAGAGTTATTATGTTTTGCGGGGTGGCTGCACTGTGCACTGAGCCCTGAAGTGGGATGATTCGTCACGGCTCCTTCTTCTATGTCCAACAGCGATCGTAAGTGGTTCTTTTATAATTACTGTCCACTTTTCTAGCGTAACGTTAGGTTACGACATTTTGGCGCAGTCGGTAATAAACCTTTTTATCATAGTTAGGGTAGTACGCGATAACAGTTGTTGTTTTAGTGCGTATTATAGTTGAGATGATTAAAAATGGCGAGTATTAGTGTTGGCAGGATTTCTGAATTTAATCCAAGTGAGGAGGACATTGTGCCCTATTTGTTGCGCCTGAAACATTTTTTCAAAGCGAACAATGTCAAGAAGGAGAACGAGGTGTCGGTTTTAATTACAGTTATTGGTCCCAGGGTTTTATCGGTCCTATCCGATTTATTATCACCGGTAGAGGTAGATTCTAAGACCTATGATGAACTTGCAGCGTTGTTGAAATTACATTATGCGCCCAAGAAGTTGGTTGTGACGGAGCGATATGTATTCTACTCTCGTGTGCAAAAGCCGGGCGAAAGCATAGCGGAGTTTGTGGTTTCAATAAAACATTTGGCTAGTTCGTGCAAATTTGGTACCTTTTTGAAAGACGCTTTGAGGGACAAAGTGATTTCCGGCATTTCTAATGAAACTATCCGGCAGAAATTGTTGTCGGAGGAATTGGACTTTGACGAAGCTTATGCGTCAGCGCTCAGGCTGGAACAGGCCGAGTCGCAGTCAAGCCTATTTGTGCAACCTCGTGGGGACATTGCGAAAATCAATGTGAAAAGTCAAAATAGGCCTAAAACTTTCGTGAATAGGAGTAGTGAAAATCAAAATTCTAGAAACTCTTGTTGGAGGTTAGGTTCTGCTGGTCATTGGCCTAGTGCGTGTGCGTTCGCCAGTTACAAGTGTCACGGTTGTCAGAGAGTAGGTCATCTCAAGAAAGTGTGTAAAGCCAAGAAATCTTCTAGTTTCCATGGTAAAAAGTCGACACCTAGGATGGGGGTCCATCAAGTGGAGGAAGAGGTAGGCCTAGGCCTAGAAGTTCCAATGGCAGAGATAAGTCTGTACAACCTTAAATCAGGATCAGACAACGGCTATAAGGTAGGCCTAGTGGCTAATGATGTATATTTAGAAATGATTCTAGATACAGGCAGTGCCTTGACTATATGTCCTTCTGAGATATTTTATGAAAAAATTTCTAACCTCAAACTTAGGCCAGCAAATGTGAAACTTACTACTTATTCAGGTCATGATGTACCTGTTCTGGGACAAGTGAATGTCAATGTTAAATATAATAATCAGCAGGCGAGTTTGCCTTTGACAGTAGTTAGTTTAG